CTGCGGCACTGGCAATCTAGTCCTAGTTGGGGCAGCGGATGCTGTCCCACTTGCTCCTCTTCCAGAACAGCTCTCTGCTGTGGCCTGGAAAGGCAGTGGAGGATGGCCCAAGTGCTTGGGCCCTGCACCCACATGGGAGACCAGGAGGAAGTATCTGGCTGCTGGTTTCGCATCAGCGCAGTGCGCCAGCCATAGCAGCCATTTGCGGGGTGAACCAATGTAAAGGAAGACCTTTCTCTCTGTCTCTTTCTCTCACTGTCTAACTCTGCCTGTCAAAAAAAGACTATTAATGCAACATATTATGGAGGATCTTAAATATCAAAGGTCTGATGTTTCACTTCCTCCCATAGCCTATCTAAATCAATACTCAAATGATATAAATCATAAGAAATACTCTCTTGTACTACTCCCAGACCATTTTCAATGTTTTACAAAATGTTCACATAGCAAATATGAAAACCTTCAACACATTCTTCTTTTCTAATTTCTGCTGCAATAAATACATGAACAACATACAGATTTCTTCTGTACCCATCTTAAAAGTGGAGTCACTGACTTACATACTAATTTATGTTACTCATACATATTTTACTCTTATTTTTAATGAGATCATTGCCAGTACACACATTGTTTGCTTAACTTTATTTTTACATTAAGCCAATGTCTGTCATGCAGCAATCAAAAAACTGACAGTAAATTATACGGGTTTGTAGTCCAATTTAGACTCTAGCTTCTTAGAATAACCCAATTTTTTTGACAGGCAGAGTGGACAGTGAGAGAGAGAGAGACAGAGAAAAAGGTCTTCCTTTTTCCTTAGGTTCACCCCACAATGGCCACTGCGGCCTCCAACACCACGTTGATCCAAAGGCAGGAGCCAGGTGCCTCTCCTGGTCTCCCATGTGGGCGCAGGGCCCAAAGACTCGGCCATCTTCCAATGCACTCCCGGGCCACAGCAGAGAGCTGGACTGGAAAAGGAGCAACCGGGACAGAATCCAGCGCCCCAAGCGGGACTAGAACCCGGGGTGCCGGTGCCGCAGGCGGAGGATTAGCCTAATGAACCATGGTGCCAACCAGAATAACCCACTTTTCTGATGGCTTTCATGAAGTCTTTCTGTACTACAAAATTATGATCAGCACGAATTGCAAACATACCAGCTTCAGTACAAACACTTTAGGTTTGCTCCAATAAAGCCATCTAAAAGGTTCATGCTTGCTTCATAATCTATTTCATAATGTTTTGTAATGGGAGCTGTGTGGATTTTCAATATATCTAACCTCGCTTGTTCATGTGGTAAATCAATATGTATTTTTCTGTCCAATCTTCCCAGACGTAGCAAAACCGGGTCCAGTGTATCTGGTCTGTTTGTAGCCATGGTCATTTTAACTCTATGCAGAGTATCAAAGCCATCCATTTGATTTAGCAACTCTATTAAAGTTCTGTTAATCTGTCAGCTGATGTACCCTCAGGAAACCAATGACCACCAATCACATCTATTTCATCCATAAAAATGATGCATGTTTGATGGTCGGTCTCTGGCATAATAAAACATTTCTCTGATCAAGCAGGCACTTTCACCAATCTATTTGTCTACAATAGAACTTGATACAACCTTTAAGAAGTTACAATCCAGCTGACTAGCAACAGTTCTCACCAAAAGCATTCTTCCTGTGCCTGGAGTTCCATATAACAAACAGCCTTTTGGAGGTATTACTCCTACATGCTGGGATAATTCTAGGTTTTTAAGAGGTAATTCTATTCCCTGGGTTCCCATGAGGCATATTGTAAACCAGTGAATCCATCACTCCTGGCAAATCTCTCATGATACTTAGTGTAGTCATATCCAAAGAAGCTCTTGTTCCTGAATTCAGCTTACTTTTGTCAAGTTGTCTATGACAGCTGACGATGTATCTTGGGGGGGGTGAGGAGTGAGAAGAAAGTTCTGGAATCAGATGCCAGTGCTGGCTGCACAACTCTGCACATGTGCTGCTAGTGAATGTTCACCTTAAAATGGTAAAAAGGAACCAAGGTAAACACCAAAGAGAACTGCTAATGAGTAATGTGAGTTAGCATTCATTCTGATCTAGTTCTCATGACTCCCCTTGCCCCAGCCCCAAGAAATAAGAGGTTGGGCTTAAGTTATGGGGATTACTGCTCCTCCGCAGGAAGCTGGAAAACCCAACAAGCACAGCCAACCTTGCATGCGTGCACATGGGACTTTGAGACTGTGTCACTCTGTGGCTTCCTGGCTACAGTGCTGTGTGTGCATTTGTTCCTCTGTGCATGTGGTTTTTTGAAAACTGACAGTTAACATGCTGTCATGTTTCAAATAGGTTTTGATGGACATACATAAAAATCTGTCATGGGGCTGGTATTGTGTCCCAACAGGTTAAGCCTCTGCCTGTGGCATCCCATTTGGGTGCTGGTTTGAGACCCACTGGCTAATTCACTTTCAAATCCAGATCTCTGCTAATGCACCTGGGAAAGCAGCAGAGGATGGCGCCAGTGCTTGGGCCCCAGCATCCACATGGGAGACCCAGAGGAAGCTCCTGGCTTTATCATGGCCCAATCTCGGTGATTGGGGTCATTTGGGGAGTGAACCAGCAGTTGGATGATCTCTGTGTGTCTCTCCTCCTCTCTCTATTAACTCTGCCATTCAAAGAAATAAGAAAACTTTTAAAAAAAGGATGGTCATATCTTTTAATATTTTCACCTTTCTTCATTCATTGAAGACACAAACAGACCTGTTCTATCAAACAGCTTATAAAACAGACCCTTAAACTGCATCTGATTTCAATGAGAGAGTCTGTATGCATTTTTGTCAGACTTAGAAATAAGGTAAGTATCATTTTAAACTAAAGCAAAGCTCCAAACTTTTGAGTTCTAAAGATAACAAATGAATAAATAAGAAAAGTTTGCTAAAATGATCAATTTCATTAGTTGTTGAGATGGTTGGATGCCAGATGGCTGGATGCCAATGTCCTCAGATGACATGAGGTCCAAACATCTCAAAACACCAGAGCCAAGAGAACCTCATCTCACGTACACAACCCTCACTGGGAGGGTCTTCATGCTGGACTTTTTAGAAAGGCTAGTTTGTTTAAAAATGCTTGGTGTGAACAGAGCCAAGCCTGTATGCTTCTAACTGTATCACTCCTTGTTAAGAAAGAGGGAAACGTCATTAATCAGGCACACACAACCACCCCAATCAGTTCCAAGGTCTCAGAGGAAGCAGGGTTCACAAACACTGATACACAGTATTCACTGGATAAACGCCAACAAGCCTCCTTCAGCAAGACAAAATGTTCATGCGCTCATGAAGTACCATGCATGGAACCGCCCAACTGGTAAAGAAGGGATTGCCTGTGACATTCACCAAGGTGGAAGCCAGAGAGGTAGACCTGCTCTTCATTTCCAAAGTGAATTCCAAGATGACATGTCATGGGGAGGTGGGGGGAGGCGATTCACAAAGAGGAGTAACAAACCGGAGGAAACAGTGAGCAAAAATTAGTGAAAAATTGACTTACAAATGCTTTTCAGGAACTTTTAATGATTGCCTTAATAAGACCAAACTGTTTCCTAGATTCACAGGCACTCTTCTAATTACATGCTTGAGAAAATTCTAAGCCATTCGGGGTAGCTGTAACTCAGGGACAGAAAGCAATAAAGTAACACAGCGATGAACAAAGAGCACTTCTGCCTGAAGGTGCTGTGGGGGTTGGCCGGGGACTCCTCACTAACCCAGCACAGCCGCCAGCCTGAGGCTAGTTAGCAATCACTATGTTCTCCTATCTTTAGATGCCTGTGCATGGTTCCCACTGATCCCTCAGGGGCATGCCATCATACCACACGTGGAACTGGGAAGCTGAGAAATGCCACTTCCCTGGCGTCTGCAAAGAACCCACTTTACTAATCACTGCAACTGCCACAAGATCAAGTGTGGCAGAGGCACCTGTGCTAGCAAGCACAGCCCAGGCCCCCACTGCACCTGCCTGTGGGGCAGGGACTCACAGGGCCCTCAGCCTCATTTTAGCTACTTTTTTGCTCAGAGAAGGAAGGCGGGAACTGGCAAGACCCACCACACTCCTGCCCTCAGAATCTCAACTCCAGACAGCCCAAGCTGAAATCCAGGCAACCCTGAAAGGTCAAGGCTTTTGGCCCTGCAGAGACACTCCCAGCAGGCAAGTCGCACCGCACCTCCAGGACCCTCCCTGCACTCCTCACACACTCACCTCTCACATTAGCCCACACCCTGCAGCCCAGGAGGGGCAAGCACAGCAGGATTTAAACTGGAACTTCACTGATATCTATATATGGCCTAGGGCTGGTTCCCACTTCCTTGAACTCATATTTAAAAGGGTATCAGTGGTGCCTTTCTCACAGAGTTTTGAAGAGGATTAGACAGGACAATGTTGTATAATTAAATAAAACTCTTGCTTCCCCTCCTTGTGTTGTTATTTAGAAATGAGACAATGGTACATTAAGAAGCCTGACCACTGAAAGTGCTTCATTAATGCTGATTCTCTTAAACATCGCTTCTTGTCCCTCCTACCGTTATTGCTGTAAACAGACCTTTCTATAACCAACAGTTCCTGTCCCAAGATCCAACAGTGAGTGCACTGTTCATTCTGCATAAGCTGAATTCCAACTGTGTACCAGGGACTACAGGAATGAAAGCAGAGACAAAGTCCTGCCCTGGACAAGCTCACAGTCTTATATGTGATATCGGTATTTAGCAAATAAATGGTGATAAAAGGGGTAAGCACTTTACATATACAGGTAGTGTGTTACACAAACTCAAGTTGCCCGAGGACGTCGGTTCCTGAACCCACACTGGAGTACTAGATAAAGTACATGGCTTTAGCTTCGGCATGGCCCACCACCAGCCATTGTAGCCACCTGCAGTGTGAACCCATACCCTGAAGATCTCTCCCGCCCCGCCTCATCTAGAACTCTGCTTTGCAAACCATTCTTTAAATAGAATAAAATATCTAGTACTTACTGTGAGGTGTCAGAATCTTGGGGCAGGCTGGAACAGGGCACTGAGGGATTCTTGGCATTTCTCTAAGCTTCTGCTTTCTCCTCTGTGTGTGCAGTCTGTGAAAATTCACCGGATTATGTGCCAATTAATTCGAGTGCCCCGTGTCCCCATGTTCCTGCACACACACCTTACGCTGCTGAACAACCCGGAGCAGAGAGGCTGTCAGTCAAAGCCTCTTCGACAGACGCAGCTAGCCAAGGCTACTTCTGGCCAGGCACAGAAAACCCCCCAAATGGACCCAGAGCTCTGGGGAAAGTTCTTCTTCTCGCAATCCCCCTCCCACACACAAGCCCTGGGACTCCTGTCACTCTCCCCTTCCTTTCCTCTCCCCCACATGTGTTTCTCCCCCTCCCTCCCTCGCCTCTCCACTTTCATTCTCCCCACTTCCTCTCTCTTCCTGCCTCCCCTTTGACCCTCTCCTCTCCTCCACCTTCTATCCCAGCTACACCCTACACACACCCCTCCCCCCGCTCTGCACCCCAGGCCATGACTACCCCATCACAGGAAGGCCACCGCGCCAAACTCCCCACACAAAGAGCGTTTCTGTTCCTCAGGAACAGGAACTGAGTCCCAAAGTGTAGTCTTCAGGTAGGGGTCGAAGCAGAGGACCACGCCTGGAAGTTTCCAGAAGCCCAAGGAAACTGATGCGGCCGCCTCCGGCTGTAGCCTCACCTGATCCCAGCCTGAGTCTGCAGGGCCCTGGGTCTCCTCAGGTTCAGCCACCAGCGTTGAAGGCGGCTCCTCAAGGCTCTGGGCAGGAGCGGACACGGCGCTGACTCCCACCAGTGCATCGAGGGCAGAAGTGGCGGCGCCTGCGGGTGCACTTCTGGGTCAAAGCGCCAGGCACAGGCGCACTCCTCACTGGCCACAGGACACACATTGGCATGGAGCTGGATGAGAGATGGAGTAGACAGGACTTGAACTGACTCCCCTGTGGGATACCACAGCACCGGCACACCTGTTCTTACTTCTTAAACTTCTTATTAGCCTTATTACTGTAATATAAATATAAAATATATTATCTGAAACTGGAAGGAAGGAAAAGGAAGGAAATGAGGAAAGAAAGAAGGAGGGAAGGATGGAAGGGGACTCTGGGAGAGTCAGTGTTAGAAGGAGAGCAGAGAAAAGGGAATGTGGTTTATTTTTAAATCAGTCTATAAATTATATTGAAGAATTTTTTGACCCTAAACATATACACGCATCCATTGGACACAATATCAATGTTTAATGGAAACTTATAGAAAAAAAAGTACTCACACTACAGAGAAAACGAGACACACTGTGCACATTAGTAACATTGTGTATGTGGAAAATTCTAGGACTTTTATGAAAATATAAGTATGAAAATGTTTCTGTAGAAATACTCTAAAAGTAAGAGTAAGCTACAGAGGCCGGCGCAGCAGGTTAAAGTCATGGCTAACGCACTGGCATTCCATATGTGCACTGCTTCTAGTCCCAGCTGCTCCTCTTCCAATCCAGCTCTCTGCTATGGCCTGGGAAAGCAGTAGAAGATGGCCCAACTCCTTGGGCCCCTGCATGCATGTGGGAGATCTGGAAGAAGCTCCTGGCTCCTGGCTTCAGATTGGCCCAGCTCCGGCCGTTGCAGCCATCTGTGGAGTGAACTAGCAGATGCAAGACCTCTCTCTGTCTCTACCTCTCTCTGTAATTCTTTCAAATAAATAAAATAAATATTTAAAAAAAGAGTAAGCTATATAATTCTGAACATATATTACTCAAAAGTACCAAATAACACTGCATTGTAAAGAATGACACATCATTTAAGTAACACTTAAGGAAGAATGTGCCTTCCTAATAAATGTCACAGTCTGACACAGAGACACAGTTTAGGGACTCTAAAAGCAACTGGCAATATCTGAGCTGGCAAAAAAAAAAGCAGTTGTAGAATAGGAAGTATCACTAAGTTTGAATTCCAACAAATTGGGAAGCTATTCCAAGAGCTCATACCATATTCTTTCTGTTTAAATCCTTTACGACTCAAGCCATCCCTAGCACCCCAAAATAATAAGAACAAAAACATCATGAAAGCAGGAGCTTTCACGCAGAGCTGCCTAGAAAGATATGAAAAACACCCATCACGACAAACATCCTCTTTCCACAAACTTTCTCAAGGATGTTCAAGAAGCATTCAGTATTAGATAAATAACAAGAACGAATGTGAGCGAATAACAGACACATTCAAAAGCCAAGAAGCACACGTTTATCAAGAGAGAGTCCTCTGCCCGAATTCTGACGTCTACAAGTGGACTACAAGCCACAAACTTCATTCCCAGCCTAAGACAAGGTCTTCATGTTCCCTAGTCCCTTAACAACCCAGTTTTCTTTCAGATAACATCTTTTCCATCTCTTGGTATTCTGCAGATGTTATCTGAATTTCCTGATTAACTCAGCATCCATTCCCCATCCCTTCTGAAAGTTCCCTCTACCAGTCCACCCATTTCCCTTCCCTCACTTTTCCTAAGGTTGCTCCCCAGACCCTCTCCCAGGTCTAACACTCTGATACTCCACTAGTTCTTATAAGTTGACCTAACACCTCCTTCATGTTACAATTCTGTTGAAAGTCACCTGACTTCCTCTATATAATCCTTCCATTTTCCCTATCTATCAAAAGATGATGACATAAAGAAATTACCTCATTTCAGCTCCCAACTCCCAAGTGCCTTGCATGTCCCAAGTTCTTCTGTGGCATTTACCCTTATCAGCCCCCCCAGCAGAGATTCCTTGCAATCTTGTCATCCTTAACCATGAATTCTAAAACCCAAACTTTTATTTCCATATCCCTCAAAAACAGACTTTTGGTGTTTTGTACTCTGAGGCAACAGCACACACTTCTCCTCCCAGGCCTCCCTCTCATTGCCTGGATGCCCCAATATTCCCCCTCTTACCACATTCTTTGACACCTGATTTACTGCAAAACTTGGGGGAACGCATTCCCCAACATCCAAGTGCCCTCATCCTCATTGCACCTAACTCTCCTCTACCCCGTTGGCCCCCACATTTCTTTTACCCCAAATGGCTACTCCATTTGACACTCCCTGTCACGGGATGAAAGTCAACTTCACTGTCCACATGGCCCACCCAGCCGCAGGGAATGTGGTATCCCTTCCCTACTCTTTCCCTTGGGCTCCAAGGCTGCCGTGTACATGAGGTGGTCACATCTGCTCACCAGTTGCTCCTCTCCAGGAAGAAGTCCCAGCTGTGTTTAGCAGGAAGTCAAGCAGTCCCCAGAAATGGAAGATTACCCAGCAGATGAACTTCAACTGCATCCAGTTTCATATCCATGAAAATGTCTACAATGAAAATTAATAAACATTAAAGAAATGGAAGAAGACACTCAAAACAGAAAAATCTTCCATGGTCATTCATTGGCACAATCGACATAATGAAAATTTCCATTCTACTATAAGCAATTTATAGACATAATGGGATCCCAATCAAAGGTCAAATAACATTTTGCCCAGATGGAGAGAAAACAATGCTAAAATTCTTATGAAAACACAGAACATCTGAATAGTGAAAGCAATCTTATACAACATAAACAAAACTCGAAGCATCGCAAAAACAGATTGCAAAACACAGAACAGGGCAGTTACAATCAAAACAACTGGTTTAGTAAAAATATTGACATATAGAACAATGGAACAGAAAAGGAACTCCAGAAATCAATCCACACATCTACAATCAATTTATCTTGGAAGAAGGCGCTAAAGATTAATCCCAGGTGCAAAGGACAGTTTCTTCAAAAATGTTCCTGAGTAAACTGGACCTCCATATGCAGAACTATGAAAGAAGACCCATGCCTTACACCTTATAGAAAAACCAACTGAAAATAGTTCAAGGAACAAAATCTAAAACCCAATCTCATCAAATTACTAGAGAACACTGGGGAAACCTGAAAGACACTGGCATAGGCAAAGATTTCTGGGAAAAGACAGCAGAAGCACAAGCAAAAGCAGCAGAAACAGAAACAGAGAAACGTGATTCCATCAAACTGAGAAGCTTCTGCGCTGCAAAAGAAACACTCAGCAAAGTGAGGAGACAACAGAATGAATGGGAGATAACTGTCTGCAAACAAGAAACTGATAAAAGATTAGTATCTACAATCGACAAAGAGCTCAACAATAAAAAATATATAGTTAAGAAATGGGCGTAGAACTTGAACAGGCATGTTTCAAGAAAGGAAATCCATATGGCCAACAGACACATGAAAAAATGCTCAGGATCACTAGCCATCAAGGAAATGCAAATCAAAATGGCAATGAGGTTTCACCGCACCACAGTCAGAATGGCTCTCATACAGAAATCAACAACGATAAATGCTGCTGAGGAAGTGGGGAATACAGTACTCTGATCCACTCACTTTTGGTGGGAATGTAGACTGGTAAAGCCATTGCAGAAGACAGTATGGAGATACCTCAGAAAGCTGAAAATAAATCTACCGTTTACTATGAAATTTATCAGCAATCCCTGTCCTGGTGATTTACCCCTAGGAAATTATATCAGTAGATTTGAAAGAGTTATCTGTACCTTCATGTTCACTGCAGCTCAGTGCATAATAGCTGGGTTGTGGAATTAAACCTGATGTCCATGAACTGATGACTGGATAAGGAAATTATGGCATATATACACTATGGATTACCACCCATTGGGGAACACGGAAATGTTGTCTTTAGCAACAAAATGGATGTAACTTTAACCCAGTATATTCAGTGAAATAGGCCAGTCCCAAAAGGACAAATAACGTATTTTTTCCCTGATTTGTGGTAACTAATAAAGTACCTAAATGTAATGTGTGGGAGAGAAAATGACATTCTGACATAAAATTGTTTCTTATAGTTCTAGTCTCACTTTCAAGAACAGTGTTTTGTTCTTCATACTCCATGTTGAACACTGTTACTTAATCATATGAATATATAGTTAACTGAAAACAGATAATTCGAAGAATTAAGGGTGGGAACAAGAGAAGGAGGAAGAAAAAGGCTGGTGTGTAGGCTTGAGAGATGCTAGCATGGGAAGAAGTATCAGTATGTTTTGAATCTATATATAAGAAATACATGATATTTACATACCTGATATAAAATGTTAAAAAAGTAGATAATTTTCTAACCAGACTAACAAAAAAGATAAAAACGCCAGTCAATAAAATTACAGACAAAAAACAGACATTATAAACAACATCACTGAAACTCAAGGTTTCAAAGAAATTGCTATTCAGTACTGTATATTAATAAACTGGAAAACTAGGAGGAAATGGAGAAATCCCTGGATAACAAATACACATAACCTACTAAGATTAATTCCAGAAGACACAGACATCCTAAAAAGACTCATAAAAATCAATGAAAACTAAAACACCCACCAGAAATACTGCTAGAACTGATGAAATAACTAAGTCACAGGTTACAAATAAACATACCTTGTAACCTGCAGTCCTGTCCTCCAGCGCGAGCCCAGCCACCCGCTTCTCCGCTTCCCACAGCCGAGCTACCGCCCGCCCCCACGGCCGCCCAGCCTGTGGACCTGAGTGTCTACATTGCCCCGAGGCACCACAACCCTCCCACCTCCCGAGGTCCCAGGCCTCTCACTGTTTTTTAAGAAAAACTCACCTTCGTTCCCGCACTCTCCAGGCCAGTACCGCTGCCGAAAACGCCGCCGGAAGCCGACAACTCTAGCAGCCGACAACATGCTGCCACCGTCGGCTCTATATCCACCAGACTGACTGCACAAGCGCTATCCATCTAGGACCCGCCTCTTCCTCCCAGCGGCACCGGAAGTGGCCAGGCAGTGTCAAAAAAGTGGGTGACAGCTGTCTTGGCTCCAGGCTTGGATAGAGGGCCAGTGTTGATCTCCGGTATGCTGCAGGTAAGAAAGCTTTTCCTATACAAAAAAAAAAAAAAAGACTGGATGCAACTGTAAAACGTTACATTTTGTGAAATAAGCCTTTCCAAAAAGACAAATATGTATATTCTCCCTGATCTGTGGTAACAGAGTACCTAAAAGGTGATCCTTAGAAGTTATATTGACACTCTGACATACAATGATTTTAAACAACTCTTGCAGATATAATGATGATTTTAAACAAACCATGTCTTGCCTCTTCAGGAACTTTTTTTTTTTTAATTCTTTCAAACTGTTGAATTCTTTACTTAGTGTAGTCTTTATATTGTGAGTATAAAACAATTGAAAATAGATTTTTGCATAAAGTAAGAATGGGAAGAGTGGATGGAGATTAAAGAGGGATGGGAGCTGTGGCGCAGCGGGATAACACCCTGGCCTGGAACACTGGCATCCCATATGGGCGCCAGTTCGAGATCCAGCTTTTCCTCTTGTGATCCAGCTCTCTGCTATGGCCTGGGAAAGCAGTGGAAGATGTCCCATGTCCTTGTGCCCCTGCACCCGTGCGGGGGACGCAAATGAAGCTCCTGGCTCCTGGCTTCAGATCGGCACGGCTCTGATGTTGTGGCCAATTGGGGAGTGAACCATAAGATGGAAGACCTCTCTCACTCTCTCTGCCTCTTCTCTCTGTAACTCTGACTTTCAAATAAATAAATCTTTAAAAAAAATGAAGAGGGATGGGAGCATGTTTGGGTGGGTGAGTGGGAGGGAGGGAAGGAGGGTAGGGTGGGAATAATTAGTGTTTCTAAATTTGTATATATGAAATACATCAAGTTTGAATACTTTAAATCAAGTTTCCAGGTAAAAAGAGAGATAAAATTTTTAATAATTCATTATGAGTGAGATAGCAAGAGATAGTTCTCATCTACTAAGTCACTCCCCAAATGCCCACATATGGGACTAAAGCTGAGAAGTGGGATCTGGATCCATGTCTCCCACATGGTTGACAGGAACTAATGCCTTGAGCCACTCTCCAGGATATACAATATGGTAGGCCATAAGTCTCAGCAAATTCAACAAATATCGAAATCATACCATGCATATTCCATGACCACATGGAATGAAGGGGCAAATGACCACACCAAGAACCTCAAGAACATATACAACCACATGGAGACTGAACATGGTCCTGAATGAACCGTGAGTCATACAAAAAATAAAAAATTATGGAAACGAATAAAGATGACAGTATAACATATCAAAACTTATGGGAAACTGCGAAAGAGTATTAAATGGAAAGTTTAGAGAAATTGATCCCTAGACCAAGAAATTGGAAAGGCATCAAATAAGAGCCACCAATGTAGTGCCCTTGAAAAACAAATGAAACCAAACACAAAATTAGGAAGAGGAAAGAGATAATTAAAATTAGAGAATAAACAAAATTGAAAACAAAAAAGAATATAAAAATCAGTGAAATGAAGAACTTGCTTAAAATATTTATACACTCTTGGGCCAACTATCCTTAAAAAAAAAAAAATGAAGAAGACCCCGATCAGTAAAGTCAGAGATCAAAAATGAAAGGTAACAATAGCTACCACAGATGATAAAAAGATTTATCTATCAAGAGTTAATACAAAGGACTGTATGCCAACCAATTAAAAGTCTGTCTCTCCTATTCTGTCTATAATTCTGCCGCTCAAATAATAAAACTTTCAAATAAACCATAGGTTTATTTCAATAGATGCAGGGAAAGCATCTGACAAAATACAACATCCTTTCATAATGAAAACCTTAAGCAAACTGAGTATAGTAAGAACATTCCTCACCACAGTCAAGGCAATTTATGACAAACCTATAGACAGCATCTTATGAATGGGGAAATGTTGGAAGCATTCCCATGAAGAGCTGGAATCAGACAAGGATGCCAACTTGTGCCCTTGCTATTCAATATAGACCTGGAAGTTTCAGTCAGAGCTATTAGGCAAGAAAAAGAAACCAAAGGATACAAACTGGTAAGGAGGAAGTCAAATTACCCCTACTTGCAGATGACAGGATTCTATACAGAGGGGAAATAAAAGTCTCCACTAAGAGACTACTGGAATTCATAAAAGAGTTTGGTGAAGTGGCAGGATATAAAATTAACAAAAGAAATCAACAGTCTATATATAAAAAGCCATGGCTGGGAAAGAGCTTCTAAGAGCAATCCCATTCACAATTGCTACAAAAAAATTAAATACCATGGAATAAATTTAATCAAGAATTCCCAAAGATGTCTATAATGA